GTAGCTTTCTAGCAGGTGCAACAGGCCCACCACCCAGGTTCCTAGCAATTGAAGAGCATGCCCTACAGGCTACTTCCCTATGAATTTTGTCAGCACGCCACTCCAAGTTTCTGTTGACATAAAACTCAGCCCAATATGTACTAGCCCTGATGGGGTCCACTCAGACCACTTCTTTGCCATCTCATGGGCTGGAGTCACACTCTTGCCAAACAGGTCTGAATCCCAGCCTTGGGTAAAGCTCCTCGCTTTCCAAGTCAGTTCCTTCCTTGGGTACTATCACTCAGCTCTAGGGGACTCTTTTTGAGTTCTCTTCTACTTTCTCTTAAAAAATGAATTCCCATTAAATAGTTAATACTTATTTATATTAAACCTTCCCTGTTCAAGTCACTGTGCCATGACTAATACAAGGGGCTATTCCAACCCAAGGTTTTCTGATTCTATAGTCAATGCTTTAACAACTCAATTCAGATATAGCTGAATAGGTTTTCAATCAAAGTCTGTTTCTGAGTTGAATTTGGGGGGAAAATGCCTGGTTCCACACCAAAGAACTTCGCAATATAAGAACGTAAGTAGTTTTTGTGTTATTAAAGGTTTGCAAGAATATTACATAAATAAGGCTGGTGCCAAGGTCAGGTTAGAGAATGATCTGTTTCTAAGGAGAGAATAGATAGACTCTGCATATTGTTAAAGATTAAAATTTGGGCCTTTTCACAGCTTAGTCAAGGTTGGTTTTACAATGTGACTTTTGATTTTTTGCTTGAACTGCAATTTCTACCCTGACACTAACAGTCAAATATAAATAAGAGCACACTCCAATTCCCTAACAGAATCCAAATTTAAATGAACTTTGAGTCAGTTGCCATGTACAAATAACTACTCTTGCTCACAGCCAATAACAGTGCAACAAGAATGAGAAGCCAAGGGACTGTTTGGAATCTCCTTTTCCAATCCCCAGTCCTTCACAGTGATAAGGGAAAAGGGTGACTAAAGTACTCAGGAAAGACAGTGGCAGGATTCAGAACTGTTTGGAGGATCCCTGCAGGTACCTCCACATCCATCTGCCCTACGGTCACCTACTCGTCTTTGGGACCTCGGAGGGGGGGGTAGGCTCTCCTACTCCACACTTCTTTCCAATTTACAAACATGATCAAACTTCTCCCCCACTTAAATAAAAAAAAGGTTTCCTACATACCCTCCTAGCTACCATCCCTCTTACAATCATTCTTTCTCTTCAAAACCAAGCTCCTTACAAGCATAGTGCAAACTTTGCTTTCCTCCTTCCTCTTCCCTACTGTCTTCTGTAATGCCCCAGCACTATTCTCTCTATCCCCAGGGAAACTCCATCAAAACCATTCTGGTAAATGTTATATCTTTTTTGCCCAATTCTGTCTTCATCTTACGAGGCCTCTTTATTGTAACTGACTTTTTTTTTTCATGACTTCTCTTTATACACTGCTACCTCCTAAGCACCCTGCTTTTAACTTGCGTCTCATACCTTTGTGACCATTTATTCTCATTTCCTTTGGAAACACTATTTCCTCTGCCTAACTCTTGATTTTTTTTAAGATTTTATTTATGAGAGAGAGAGAGAGAGAGGACAGAGGGACAAGCAGACTCTGTGCTGAGCACGGAGTATGACATGGGGCTCAATCCCAGGACCCTGAGATCATGACCTGAGCCGAAGTCAGATGCTTAACTGACTGAGCTACCCAGGTGTCCCTGTCTAAATCTTGATTTTATGTATAATTACTAAATTCTGTCCATGATTCATTTTCTTTTGGCTTACCTGGGGTGATTTCATGAACTTTACAGTTTTAACTAGCATGTGGTCTGGTATATCCCACATCTGTATAACTGGTCTGGATCACTAACTTCAGGGCTCTGTATCTCTTTTCCTGAATTATGGACTATCCTTGCTAGACACTCCCTAAGTACTCTAGTAGACCCTGTTGATACCCTACCACATAGCCCCTTAACCTCAATGGCTCTGAGTTCACCTAAAGCTATGGTGGAGTTTCTGCAAGCACTGCTACATTTCCACCTCAAGCACCCACATTTCTTATTTGGACTGCCCTCCATAGCCCAGAAGGGCAGGATTTTATGCACCCGAGGGCAATCCTCAAAAACGGAGGGAAATTGGTGGATAAACACTCCAGTTTCCATAAGCTCAGTGGGACAATTCTGAGCATGCTCTGTGATACTGGTGTAGTACATGATTTCTTTAAAGCTCCTAGTAGGACTAGCCCTGTCACTCACAGTGGAAACTCACTGATAAAAGTACCCTTTATCAACCGTCCAAGCTTTCATTCCCTACTCTCCCCACTCCCTCACTTGTCCTTCTTGGTATTATACCTCAAATTAACTAATAGCACCTAAGTCCTTGACTCAGGAATTGCTTTTGGTTCATATCAAATTTAAGCAGGCACTTCAGGATCAATGGAGATAAAAAGTGACATGTGGTTTTTTACCTCCAAACTTGCTTTTTTTCTCATTTTCTCAATCTTGTTTATGAAAAATAACAGCTATGCAGTCACCTGAATCAGAAACCTAGATGCTCTCCTAGATTTCTCATTTTCACTGTACCTATCACCACCACCCTTGTCTTCAACTGATCTAAAAATACCACTTCTTCCTTGGTCTCACTACCTACAGCCTCCCTGTCTCTTATACCACCTACTCTCCACAGTCACTACAGAGGTAATATAATCTGATTGTGGCACCTCTCTTCTCCTTCCCCCCTTACACTCTTTTAAAATATTTATTTACTTACTGAGAGAGAGAGGGAGCACGAGCAGGAGGGGTAGAGGGAGAGAGAATATCAAGCAGATTCCACACTGAGTGCCGAGCCCAACTCGGGGCTCGATCTCACAACCCTGAGATCATGACCTGAGCCAAAACCAAGAGTCAGATGCTCAACCAACTGCAGCACCCAGGTAGCCCTTCCCCCTGACATTCTAAACCCTTCAGTGGTTCCCTGAGTGCATGGTTATAGACCAGGCTGTTTGAGAAGCATTTGTCTCCCTCAGCAAACTTGCTGATGCCTACTTGTTCAGGTCTACCTTCAGGTACTCCCTGACCTGTACCTTACACTCAGGCAAAACCAAATGGTTTGCAGATGTGCATTGATAACCAGCCTCCTGCTTCCAATTCTTTGCATGTGTACATCTACCTGTCTGGGATTGCCCTCCTACACCCGTGCATTTGGCTATCTCCTATTCTGATTTTAAATGTTCACAGGGCTGCCCTTTGGCTCAGTCAGTAGAGCATGCAGCTGTTGACCTCACGGTTGTGAGCTCGAGCCCCATACTGGGTGTAGAGATTACTTTTAAAAATGTTTTAAATCTGGGGTGCCTGGGTGGCTCAGTCGTTAAGCATCTGCCTTTGGCTCAGGTCATGATTCCAGGTCCTGGGATCGAGCCCCGCATCGGGCTCCCTGCTCGGCGGGAAACCTGCTTCTCCCTCTCCCACTTCCCCTACTTGTGTTCCCTCTCTCGCTCTCTCTCTCTCTCTGTGTCAAATTAATAAAATATTTAAAAAGAAATGTTTTAAATCTTAAAAAAAAATACAATGTCATTCACAATGAATTTTCTCTAAAAAAGCTACCCCAAATGTGTTCTTGTGCTGACCCACACAGATCTGTGCCCTTTTTCTTTGTTCTCTAATCTTCTGTGATAACTTTAAAAAATTTTTTATTTTATTATGTTATGTTAATCACCATACATTACATCATTAGTTTTTGATGTAGTGTTCCATGATTCATTGTTTGTATATAACACCCAGTGCTCCATTCAGTACGTGCCCTCTTTAATACCCATTACCAGGCTAACCCATCCTCCTACCCCCCTCCCCTCTAGAATAACTTTTAACACAACTTTTTGCATCTTATAAGGATATTATTTGTTTTTATGTTCTGAACACACTAAGAAATCAGTGAATTTTTGCTTAGCTAGTCAGTGTCTATGAGTAATGAAGGAGAAGAAATTTTCCTACTTACTACCTAAACTTTGAACCCTGTCTCACATGTTACAGACACATGTAGTAAATGAGTATGAAACTAAACTTCATTATAATCTATTTGTTCTTTTTGACAAGTAATCCATTCTTGATTTAGGAGAGTATATGCAAAACACTCTTTGATTGGGAGTAATATGATTTTTTCTCTTAATTTTGATTGAAAATATTCAGAAAGAAAAAAAAGGAAAAAAGAAAACATTCAGAAAACACATGGTATAATTCTTACAGATGAACATCCCTCTGTTATATATAAATTAAAGCTCTTTAGTATTACTTGGGAGGAATAAACAACATCTAGGGTACTAAGAGAATCACACATATGACTAACAAATTGCATATAACCGTAACATGTGTGTGCATGTGCTGAGAAAGGTGGGAGGTGCCTGGATGACTCAGTCGGTTAAGCCTTTGCCTTTGGCTCAGGTCATGATCGCAGGGTCCTGGGTTCAAGCCCCACGGTCAGCTCCCTGCTCAACTGGGGGTGGATGGGGGGTCTGCTTCTCCCTCTCCCTCTGCCCCTCCTCCCTACTTGTGTTCTCCTGTTCTCTCTCTCTCAAATAAATAAATAAATCTTTTTAAAAAGAGAGAAAGAGAAAGGTAGAGAGAGAAAGGGAAAGAGGGAGAAAGAGATGAGGATACCTACACATATTGGTTAATCTTGGGTAGGGACAAGAATCCTGTGATCAGATAAGATCTGATTTTGAATAGTTAATCTAACTATTTGCAGCTTGTGGACTTGAGCATATTACTGTATTTGGTATGTCTCTGTTTCCTGTTCAAACCCACCCTTTATAATGTTTTTGTAAGACAAAATGATAGAAGACACATGTAAATAATTTACCCATGTCTGGCACATGACAATTTCTAAAACCTGGAAGCCGAACTAATATTCAAAGTATTCGTTCTTTTATCTGAGAAACCTAAAAGTATTTGTTAGGTATTTATGCAAATCAGTTTAAAAAGATTTTTCACTCTTATCGTCATACCTCTTCATGCAGCTCTCTCCAACGAGAATTAAATGTCTCAAGTTCCTCATTGATCAGTTCATCCATGACTCCACCATCTGTTAGGGTCTGTGCCAATATGCGAATCTGATTCGGGTTATCCTCTGAATGTTGCATCAAATTTTCAAGTGACTGAAACACATTTGCAATAATTACTATTTCCCTTCTTTTTCTAAATATATTGAATTAACACAAAATGCTCAGTATCTTCTTATTTACATATCATTAAGTTAAGACAATTTAAAGCAATATTGAATTGGGATAATAAAACATGAAAGACCTTGTTTCTTAAAAAATATGATGTTTCTGCATGTCTATCTTCATGAGCTTGTGGCAGGATTGTGGACTGGGACACTTAAAAATTATCCACAGCCACTTTCCTCTTTGATGCCCTCTACTCTTAAACCTGGAAAGGTAAAATACTCGATTTCTCAACTTCTCTTACAGCTAGTGATGGCTAAGCGACATGAATCTGAACAATACATGTAGGTAGAAATTCAACAGCAGAGTTTCCTTTCCCCAATTAAAAAAAAAAAAAAAAAAGGTACAACCTCTAGAAGAAATCACTTTGCCCTTCATACTTTTTCCCCCATACACATAGCTTCTCAGTGAAGCAGCCATCTTTGGATGGAAAAGCAATAAAATGAGGGTGAAGCCCTTCAATCTGATTATTTAATAGGATAACTGCATCATCACACCCTTTGTTCTGGCACTGTGTGTGCTTCGACTTTTTTGGAAGATGAATCACATTTCTGATTCACAAAGAATGCTTGGTCAGTTAACATCTCTGAATAGGACAAGGCCAAAATTATAGTCCACCTGAGACAAGTCTCATTGTTCTTTGATAGTTCTTCAGGTTTTACAGTCATCTTGAGAAAATAAGGAAGTTGGATATATGATGTTTAGGTTCCTGCTTTAACACTCTAGACTCTCAATACTATCTAAAGTGACATTTTACATTTCCTTCACATCTCGATTAAGTGACAACTTACATCAAGCACCTCGGAGATTTCCTCAGCTCCCCCAGGAATATTTTCCATGGTTTTCAGTTTGAATTCTACTTCATTTAGCCACTTGTTTGCCTTCTCCAAGTATGACAATAACTCATGCCAGCACGCCCAAACTTCCTAAGAAAGAAATACATATCACAGATAAAATATTTGATAGAAGTGACTCTGGGGCTTTGGAATTTTCATTTTTAAAGCTGTGAAAATGGAACATGTTTATTTTATATTGTTCACCTTTCCTTTGCAGTAGATAATTTAAAAAGCAACTAGTCATGTTGATCAGCTAATATGTTTATAACTACTAATCATTAAGGAAACATCTTATTACAAAAATTAATTAAAGAGTCAGTGATTTATTTTTTTAAATAAAAAATCTCATCAACATCACAGTCTGGAAAATAAAAACTAAAAGCATACACAAAAATGTATATATATATATATATAAATTAACATCTCAAAACCTTAACCATGCCCACTTTTCTGTGAGCTCCTTTAAACTTTATCATATGCAAGTAATATGATAGCTAACATTAAAGTGCAGATTTAGCTACAGAGCTCTTTTCACTAAACCTTACATAATTTTTCTGTATTACTAAGAAGACATATTTTTAATGAAAATCTAAAGTTTCATTTAAGTGGCTGTATTATTATTTTCTTAACAGTCATAACTTATTGGGTAGTTAGACTATTTTTGGTTTTGTTTGCTAATAAATTTGTAGTGAGGATCACCATGAATATAGATTTTTTCCCATATTTCAAATTATTTCCTTGAGGTATATTAAGAGGAATATGACTAATAACTATTTCAAGGATATGACTACTTTTAAATGGCTTTTGATACGTATTGAACAAATGATTACTGTAATACTAAAACATAATCATATATAAAAAAGCAAAACTTTAAGATTGCAACCAGAAAATACAGAAGAGTATTCTATAAACTTGGGATGGGAAAGGATATCTTAAATAAGACATTTCATAAGAAACAAAACAAAACAAAAACAAAACAAAAAAGAAACCTGAATAAATTTGATTACAGTAGAATTAAATTCTTCTATTTATCAAAAGACACCATAAAGAAATTGAAAACCAGCCTCAAACTTGAAGAAAGCAATTGCAAAATTTCTAACAGATGAGTAAAAAAGGAATGACCCAAGTCAATTAAAAGAGAAGAGACATCCCAATAGAAAATGAAAGGAAAACCTAAATATATGCATATCCAACAAATATATGAAAATATGTTCAACCTCATTAGCAGTCAGGGGAATGTAAGTCAAGATTATGTGGTATTTATACCATGTCAACTGACACAAATGAGAAATTTCACAATTCCAAGTGTAAGAGAAGATACAAATTAACAAAATTTTGTATTTATTGCCGGTGGGTGTGTCTACTGGAATGATCATTTTGGAAAACAATCTTTCATTCTCAGTCAGGTGAATAGTCACATCCCCGACAATCCAGCAACTCTCGCATACATAACCTCAGAGAAATTGCTTTGTGTGGACAACAAAGGCAGTTAAGAGAATGTTCATTTCATCACTTTTGGTAATAACCAAAATTTTTATGTCTGCTAACTGGAGAATGTAGAAATACATTGTAGTACATTTAAACAGAAAACACAGAAGTAAAAATGAAAATTTCATCACACAGAACAACATGGATGACTCTCAGACACAAAAATGTTGGGCAGAATGGGCAAGCCCTAAAAAACTAAATATTATAGGCTATGATATTTTGTGACACTCAAAATAAGCAAAATTGAGCAATACGTTATTTAGGTATTCATATGAGTGTGATAAAACATTTTTAAGCAAAGAAAAATGAAGGCAAATTTCTGGATTATGAGTTTGTCTAACTGAGAAAAAAGCAGGAAGATGCAGTAGAGGATATGAATACAAAACTGGTCATTTTCCATTAGCTTTGAGATTGTAAATATTGGACAAACCTATAAATACAGTAGTGTAATCACTACCACCTGCTACCCACCCCCCCAACTCCACCAAAAATAAAGGCAAGGAAGGAAGTTTTATTCTAGGAGAAACCAAAAATTCTGTCAGATTTCCCATATTTTCACTGTGCTTATAGCCCTTGCAAATGATAGAGGACATTCCCCCTCTAATTGATGAAAAGTATCAGTCCAACCTGTCTTGCCACCCTACCAATACTTGCTTAGTATTTTATGTACAGTTTATTACAGAAAGTGAAATTAAGTATTTTGCTTTAAAAGGTGATAGAAATCTTAAATCTGGGTCATTTCCAGCTCCTGCTGGACTACAGGCTGTCTTCCTTCTGGGCAAAGATCCCAGTGGGAAAATATATATATCTCCTTAAGTACCAGAGGGTATTCTAGAGCTTTGAAGATAAGGAGATGTGATTGGTAATGTGTCTTATTAACTTTGGTGCAGACTGAGGTAATGAACTACCTTACTGATTTAACCGTCAGGACGGATGGCCTCTTGTGTCCTCGATGCATCGGAAGGACACAGCTGGAGAGGCTGAATGTACTGGCTTTATAGGTCACCTTTGCAAAATAAAATGTAGTCTTGCAGCCAGAATTGGAGCTAAAAGCCACTTAGAATAACTGTTAAGGTTAGCAGTTTGGGACTCAAAACTGCTTGGAAATCACAGAATTCACAGTGGCTTTAAAGAGATGACAATTGAAAAAGGAAACTTCCATCCAAAATGGTAAATGGAGCTGATGTGGCAATCTCCCCACCCGCTTTTGTAATATTGAAATGCTGGGTAAAATACAAAGGACAACATTTAAGTTCATCGGGTTGCTCTATGAAATATGAAAATCCTCCCAGAGCAGAAACAAAGAGGGAAGTTAAGTGCATGCAGAGGTTGGGAGGCCAAGCTAAACAAAACACTGGCATATCAGAACAGGGTATGTGACATACCAGCTAGGGTATTCAACACTAACTTGGGATGAAAAAAGGGGCACTGGTCTCATGCAATCCAGGGAGATGGAAGAGCATAAATTTAGGTGCCATCTGTCCTGGAAACCAGAACTATAAAATCCCCATCCACTGGAGTAAAAGGAATTGGCAAGGAAGCTGAGAATCCTTTGGATTTTAGTTGGAAAATAAGGATTCACCCACCAGAAACTGAAACCTAAGTTTATATCACACATGAGAGTAGAACGTGACATTTCTAGGACTCTGGTAGGAACATTAAAAAAAAAAACAACAACACAACACAACACAACTTATAAGGACCCTCTGACAGCCCAGAGCAGAAAGGATTTCCAGTAAAAACAATTCGTACTACAATTGAGCTCAAAAACAAAATATTACAAACCACGTGAGAAAATTTACCGCCATTTGAGGCAGTCAGTAGTGGTAATGAACGTAGAATCCACAACTTATAATCTAAAGATGACACAATTGTAAGGACTTTTATAATAAATAACTTCAGCCTGCTGTTAAAAGTTGCCAGTAAGATCTCTTTTTCTTGAGATTGGCAACTAGAGTTCACACTTAAGAAATAAAAGGTTCCCTATATTATGTGTTAAAAAAACTTCTGCAACATGTTTTCACAAGCTGTGGCCTAAATAGAGGGGTGTGATGGGGAGGGCAAAGGGGGTATATGAGGAAAGGAGAACTAGAAAGTGAGGCAAAATTTTTTTTTAAAGATTTTATTTATTTATTTGAGAGAGAGAATGAGAGAGAGAGAGCATGAGAGGGGGAAGGGTCAGAGAGAGAGAAGCAGACTCCCTGTAGAGCAGGGAGCCCGATGCGGGACTCGATCCAGGGACTCCAGGATCATGACCTGAGCCGAAGGCAGTCGCTTAACCAACTGAGCCACCCAGGCACCCCGTGAGGCAAATTTTTTTAAGATTTTATCTTTTAAAGTAATCTCTACACCCAACATGAGACTTGAACTTACAACCCTGAGATCAAGAGTCATGTGCTCTACCAACTGAACCAGCCAGGTGCCCTTGAGGAAATTCTTTTTCTCAACTTTTTACTGTGGTGTTTAGGGGAAACCCATCTGGTCCCTTTTCCTGGAAGGATCTAAAATAATACCACTCATCGAATGGGCAGGTACATTCAGAAAGAGATGGTTGGCATGCATTCCCCACTGAGCTGCTGGTATGGTCAAAGAGGCATCATGGAATTACGGGAGATGGGATCTGCCAGAGCTTGCTGGCTAAGCTGAAATGTGGTGGAGAAATAAGAATCCAGCACATCATGGAAGCATGGGTTTAAAAGATGTAACTTTCAAGAGAATGTGGTTTAAGGCTACAGGCAAGAGTCAGCCTGGAATTTTGTTGAATACCCCAAGGCACCATGAATGAATAGGAGATCTTCTTTGGGGGTTCACAGTCTATATGAATATGGATCCCCAACAGATCACACCAAGTCTAGGGAGAAAAAGCCAGATCAGTGGTGATAACCTATAGAATCTGGTGATAACATACTCATCATCATAGATGTCTATGGGTGTTATAAAAGGGTATAGCAACTGTGATCAGCAAAGAAAGGACACTGATATAAAGAATGTATTTTCCCCCTCATTACCCTCCCTTAAACCAACACTATACAATCACTATCCAGAAATTGAGTGAGAGGAGAGGACGCCAAAATCATTTTTTTCTCACTTCCACCTTTGTATAAATTGTTGAAGCCACAGATTAATCTAAACTAATGGAAGATGTTAACAAACTATGAGATCAAAATTTAAATAAGACTAAATTTTAATAACTAAAAGTGAATGAAAAATCATGGGATCAGACAGCAATAGTGATTAGGAAGCCAACTACTAGGCAGAAAATGAGGTTTGACATGGGTGGTTACAGTTATTGGAAAACCAAAACTCTTCCATACTCATTACTCACTGAGACTTCTCAACCAAACAGACTGCATAGGTTTAAGTTGTTTAACAAAAGGAAGAAATAGAATCAATTATGCAAAAGCAGAAGATTGCATAAAAGAAGAGACAAATTTTCTAAATAAGTAAAATCTTAAGAAATGGAAAATGAGGTCTTTGAAAGAATACAAAATTATATCCACACGTGTATACGGGTAGATGTGTATATAGAGATGAGTATATTTATACACCAATAGTCATTTGAAGAGATAATTTGAGAATTAGAAGACAGATTTCAGAAAAATACACAGAATCCAATAGAAAGAGATAGATATATAGAAAATATTAAAGGGAAACACTCAAATGAGAGAGAGAAAGAGAGAACAAAATCTGTTGTATTAGTGCTGAGAGCTACAGAAAATAAAACAAAGAACGGGAAAGGAAGGGAAGAGATGACACTATGGGTCCCAGGAAAGTCAGAACTAATTCACTATCATGTTACATGAGGGAGGGATTTTTTGTATCTAAGAAATTGCTTTCTGACAATATTTTAAAATGAAACTCTTAAATATTTTCTTATGTTCTTAATTTCTTTACATCACTATTATTCTTTGCTTCCTATTACTCATGTTGTTCATGTAAAAGATAGGCCAATCCATCAGAAATCTATTTTGGGATATGTTTTCTAACGGGATCTTTTATTTTCATATTAATAAATTTTTCAAAACTATTGAGCTATCCCTCTACTTTTTTTTTTTTTAGGTACATACACACATTTATCTAAATTTTTACTGATATAGAGGCTATTTTACATCACACAATTTACAAATAATAATAAAATATACGATACTCTTTTCTGTGAATTCTATGTGGCTAATTGAATCTCCTGGAATCCTTGGAATTCTCTATGTGGCTAATAGAATCTCCTGGAATCACCATACAATACCTCATTAGTTTTTGATGTGGTGATCCATGATTCATTGTTTGCATATAACACCCAGTGCTCCATGCAGTACGTGCCCTCTTTAATACCCATCACCGGGCTAACCCATCCCCCCACCCCCTCCCCTCTAGAACCCTCAGTTTATTTCTCAGAGTCCATAGTCTCTCATGGTTCGTCTCCCCCTCCGATTTCCTCTATTTCTCATCTATAATTACACTTCTAACCTCTTCTATTTGTACTGAAGTTATAAAGTCATACAGTCCCTTTTTAGTCCATCTCCAATGGTTTGGAATATATATGACTTCTTTATCAACTATATTCACTAAGATGACTCAGTTCATGTGGGGGAAGGGGGCTTAATTTACAGCCCAGCTAGCGGCAGTCTCTGGCAGCATTGGCTTTTGGTGCTAGGTAAAGTTTTGTGCTCCTCAACACAATCCTTACTGTTAGTAAATAGTATTTTCACATGGATTCTTTATTAACAATTTTCAGATAATCTAAGGAGTAAAGCATGTGGAAAAGATAATGCAGGACTTAAGATGATGCATAAATATAATACAAAATGTCCCCCCAAAAGAGCTAGACAACATGTCTTGTGAAGCACCCTATAGGGCAGAACGATTCTTAAAGACATTTACAATAAAATATACTTCTCCACAAAATACCTTTCTGCTAAGATACTTATGATTCTATGCACATTCAAATATAAAAGAATAAAGACCAGTTTCTATAAGTCTTGAGGAAACTTATTTATAAGATTTTTGTGACCTAATAATAATAATGGTAATAAGAAGAAGAATTAGAACTATAATTGCTCACATTTATTGGGCATTAGGCTAAGTACTTTAAATAGAATAGCTCATTTAATTTTCTCAGCACCCTATGGAATAGGTATTTTTGCCCATTTCACAGATAGGAAACGTTTATACAATGTAAGCAACTGGCCCAAGGTCACAAACTTCTAAGTGCCTTTGTGAGGAATCTGAGCCTGAGCAGTCTTAACACCAGCATTCCTCTTCTTAATCACTGTGTTTCATGTAGGATCATAAGCTGACACATAAGTAATAAAGATCAAGAAAAGCAACTGACTTCCAAGGTCTTGCATTTGCCATTGAGCCTGGTGCAGAGCCACTGATAGTTGGTGGTGAGAGTGTCAAGTTCCTTTTTAAAGGCCTCTTGTGCTGCAGGGGGAGCCTGAGCTATGACACTATTGACGGACTCAGTAAGGAGTTTCACTTTGGCTTCTTTCTGCTGGGCCTCTTCTTTAGCTCTCTGAAAAACAAAGAATGCTCTCTTACTTGATAGCAAGACAATGGATTTACTTCCAAAATGCATTCCTCTGTATCACATGCTTTCTTCTCCCACAAGATCCCTGTGAAAAGATTAATAAAAATAAATCTGTTAGTGATTACAATAACTTCCATAAATTTAGGTTTAGTTAAAATTTGAAGTTGGAAGGAAAAAATTATCATCAGAATGTAATAGCTCTTTCATCCAAATGCAGTGCAAAGTAGTCATCACGTGGGTATGTATTTGCGGTGTGCTCTCTCGCCCTCTTTCATATATATGTGTGTGTGTGCGTGCGTATATACACACATACACGCACACACACACACACATATGAGACAAGCAAGAAACACGTATTTCAATACTAACAAAAATATCCCATATTCTAGAATTGAAATCATTTCTAAATTACTCAGATGAATGAGTAATATTGAAATCAATAAAAATATCATTATTTAAATCAAAAGATAATTAATATAGAAAAGTCTTCTTATTGCTACATCCAGAACCATATTTTGAGAAAAGAAAGTTCTATACAGTAACTGAACACATATAAGAGGAAGAGAAGAGCAGCCCCTGAAAGGAGGGAGGCTCACCTGGTCCTCAGCTATTCCTTTGGTCTTCTCCCATGGAATATAAAGTATTTCACAGAATACCAACATCAGACAAGGCTACTTTGTTACCATTGTGGATCATTCAACAATACCACTACATTCCATAATTATGTTAGAATATATACAAAGCATAAACTGCCCAAACCACAAAATACCTAACACTTCCCTGTCCCCATTAATATGAATCTGTGCTGCTCCTTTATCAATTATACCTTCAGCATCACTCTAGTCCTCCTTCATTCTAGGACAGATTTATTAAGATACCCGATCACAGAGTTATTCCCACTTACTGGCAACATGCAACCCAAAGCAAAGCTCTTCAACTCTCCCTCAAATCATCTAACACAAACCCAGATCCTACAACAGGTTCTTTCTAATATGCTCTAACTCATACAACCCACAGTTCCCCAAAGTACTCACTGCCAGAAGTACTAAACCCAATTTGTCCAACTCTATGAATCTTGCTGGAGGCCGTTAGGCAGGGTATGTATAATCCTCAATTTTCTATGTGTACATGCGTATCTCTCTGTCTCTGTCTCTCTTTCTCTCTCTCTCTCTCTCACATACACACACACATTCACAATATATCTTTCATTTGAGTTACTCCAAAGGCCAACCCTGAGATGAGCTTTCAAGCATAAGTAGTTTATGTGTCATGTAAAGCAAATACTGGTGTAGGAATGGGGAATGGAGACAGGAAAGGGAAGAGAGATTATAAGGGTACACTTACTCAGCTCAGCAACCAGTGTTGGTTACTAGTTTAATCTTACTGGGAAGCTCTGGGAAACACATGCCTCAGGGTTATCACACTCAAGGGTGAAGAATTGGGGTACTTATACATCATCTCCCATCATTGGTTGAAGGTTATTGGGGGGATGTTAATTTCACAGTAGTGAAGCTTGACACATAGGTGGGAAAAATGGGTTGCAAGAACCACAGAAAGTCCTTACATCAAGAAATGCAGGTTCTGGCAGGGGGAAGTTGGGCCTACATGCAGTGTAGTGGTGAGCATAAGTGGAGATGGGCAAGAAATGGACAAGGTCAGCTATAAAATGCCTTTATATTTTTCAACACAACTGCTCTATGCCTTTGGATTTATGATGCCTCAAAAGTATATAATATGATGGCAAATGCCAAGATGTTTTGAATATTAAGTGATTACCTTCATGGATTTTGATGTAATTGATTAAAAATTTTAGCCCCAAATTCTTAAATCTGTTTTTGGCATTAGTGAGCATGAGGTTTGTTTCTACACAAACCATATTTTGACTATAGTAATTTTAGCTTACAAACAATTCTGACAACCATTAATCACTCTGTGCTGCTGTGTGCTATGTCAGACGTGCTGTACGTGCTACTTCGTTGCATCTTTAACGAAACCTTGGGAGATGTGTTTTGTCATCTCTATCTATAGTCGATATCCAGAAAACTGAGTTTCAAAGTGTTTAAGAAAGTCGTCCTGGAAACTACATCCTTTCTTTCTCATAGTTTCTGTTAAGCCCATCTCAAATCCTCCATGAAATGAAGAAGCGTGCTGTATGGGATCCAATGAATGAAATTTATTTTATACAAGTTACAAACAACCTATACAACCATCAAAAAATGCAGGATAAAGAACACTTCTTTCTTCCATTTTTTGGCTTTCATAAATTCTTTTTTTAAAAAAAAAAACAAGCTTAGAAGATGGGAAACATTCAGAGGAGAAACAGATAAAATTTCTCCACTGAAAGAAAAGGTAGAAAATTAAATGATTGGTGTAATTTGGATGTAATCTTCATTAGAAGTGATGTCTTCCCCCCCTCCTTTATTTCCATGAATCTAACCATTATATGCTGAGACACCTTTCATTGTCAATATCTCAAACCAGTGGTTCTCAAAGTATGGTTTCTTGGACCCACTTTGGAACTTGTTTCCTGGCATCACCTGGAAATCTGTTAGAAGTAAAAATTCTCAGGTACCACCCCAGATGCAGTGAATTAGAAATGCTGGGGTGGAGCCTAGATGTCTGTGTTTGAAGAAGTCCTCTAGGTGATTGGGATGCTCACTCAGTTGTAAGAATCACATTCTAGTCTGTCACACAATGAGAACAGTAAATACATTTATGTAATTCTGGTAAGTATGAGGACTAGAGTTGGAATAATGTAAATTTAAAATAAAATAAAGAAGAAAATAGTTAAAACTGAAATCTCAGAGATTTTTAAGGAGTTTAATATGAAGTTTCACCATTTATTCATTGTAGAACTCCAAAAGAATTTTCAAGTCAGATAATGCTTATCAAACACTCCCAGAAACTCTTTTATGTTAATTGTAAAGCTTTGCTTACAGGGGAAAAAGAAGTCATGAAAGTAGCATAATCATTTTCAAATAAAACACAGGAGATAAAAATAAATAAAAAGAAGGATGTCTCTACTTTTTCTCTGAGTAAATTAGGGAATATGTCTGAGTAGGTCTGCCAGTTTCTTTTGACAATAAAGATAAATTTGCTCTCAACATGAGCACAGGTGGAAGCCTGGACAAGGTACCATCACTACCCTCTAGGTAGTGAAACAAACCTAAAGAGATTACCTTGACTGGCAGGCAAAACAAACAAACAAACAAACAAACAAAAACAAAAATTGGATCTTCTTGCCAACTCCCCTGGCTGTTGTCAGAGGCTGCCTGAGCTTTTCCTCTTTGCAGTATTACCCCCAACCTGGAGCAACTGTGTAGCTAGATCAATTATTTAAACAAGTAAGTCAACGTGGACTAATTGGTTGGATTACTCATTTCAAGAACTGTGTGCAAAATTTCAAAATTTGAGACAGTCTGCTCTCTAGCACTGGAAAAGAGAAAAGGATCTGCTTGGGTGGTTAGCCAGAAAGGCAAAGTGTTCAAGGAGAGAGGGAAGAGGGCCAGAAGAGGGCCAGAAGAGGGCCAGAGCCAAACACAGGAACTGGGAGAAATACAGCAGCTGAACACAAGCTCACTGCTGATTATCTACTTAGGTATCCGAGGCAGTGGCTACAAAGTATTAGAGGAAGTGAGGAAAACAGCCACCAGGAGAATGGGATGTGAGGGTAAAGGCAATAGGGATGGCACATGACTCTAAAAGAAAAGAAAACAAAAGAAAAAATAGTTTGGAATAGCTTGGGATGGGATGGTGTGGGATGGGATGGCATGACAAATATTCAACATTCTTGGTTCTACCACAGATAAAGCCTGTGACTATGAGTAAATTATTCACCTATCTGGGGATTTCAGTTTTCAGATCAGCAAAGAGAAGCGTGGTCTATTTTGCTTCCAAAGTATCTTGTAGCTCTCACTATCTACGGTGATATAATTTTCCTAAGAGTGACCTCCCCACATTCAAATTTAAAATCATTAGAGTCTCTTGTTTGAAACTGCCAATGGCTTTCCCATTTCACTTCTCATGAACTTCCCCAATCCTACAAAATCCTTGTTAGCAGGTACCTACCCACCTCCTCAAAATCATCTCAGGTGATTTATCCTGTTTCACTCTGTGCAGCCTGGCAGGCCTCTTTCTCTTCCCAGTTAGCCTTAGGGTCTTTGCAGGAGTGCTTACCTCCAAGTGGAATGTGTTTCCAATAGTTTTTTTTTTTTTTTTAAAGGCTGACTTTTTCTTAGGATTCCTATCTCCGATTATAATGCCTCACGAATTACTTACACGTCAACCCTTTCTAATATAGCATTTTACCACCCCCAACTCCCACCTAAACCCTAATATAGCATTTTACCACCCCCAACTCCCACCTAAACCCTAATTATTTTTTATTTCACATTTGTGGTTTACTTGTTAGGCAAACTACCATGATCTCAAAAGAGGTGTTTATTTCTCCATTCACTGCCTGCTCTCCCCCCACCAGAATGTAAGTTCCAAGAAGTCAGGTCATTCTTATGTCTTGTATTCAGTGTCTAAAAGGGTATGTAGCACATAAGTAACTATACAATTAATGTTTGTTGCTTAAATGAATGAATGATATATGGTATTATTAGATTAGAATAATTATGCAGCTTTTAATACCCTGAAAACTATTACTGTTTAAATAAAGTCTTTCTTATACATTTTAATTTTACTTTCTATAGGTGACTAAAGCCACGTGATCCACTTGGAATAGCCTGGGATGGGATGGCATAGAATGGAAGGGGATGGAATGAAATATATTCAATACTCTTGGTCTTACCACAGGGTCTTTGAACCCACTCTGAGCCAGGCAATTTACTTACATGTAAGTTTCAATTCTCAGTTCACACATTCAAGTTAGAGAGTGACATGGTGTAGACATTACAAATCAGAGATTACATTGACTGTCCAGTTGTCCAAGGCCATACTGAAATGCCACTGCAGAGACTTTACTTCAGGCCTCACCTCCCAGTCCCTGCTACATACTAGTTTCCTTGGTCCTAAATCACTATTAGTTTTTATCCTACTGTTTGAGAAGTCCATGTAAACCCAGTCCTTTTTATTCACATTAAAGGCCATCAATTAAAGTAGTTAGTATCCAAATTCTCAGAAACCCCTTTAAAACACCAAATGAACACAGCCTGTTAGCTACATTTTCAACTGTCATTGCAGTAACACTTGGCATATTTTCCATTTGAATTTTCATCACTAGAAACAGCTAATGTGAGTAGCCGATTCCAATCACTTAATACAATATAATGTCATGGGGAAAATGTTGCTAACGGTGACTGTCAATATTTAGATTTTGACCACAATGCTTTAAAATAAATAAATAAAAAGTTTCAGAATCCATAATGTATACCAAACTTGAAGCTGAATTCATTAAAAATCAACCTCCACCATTAAACCAAGGAAAGAATAGATAGTGTAGAATCACAATGTCAAGCAAAGTAGCATATTTCTCTGTTTTTTTCTTTCTTTGCTTCATTTTATTTGGTTTATTTTACCTTCATCTCTTCAACTGCTGTCTGTAATTCATCAGGGGTTTTATATTCGAAATCTCTCTCTAGGTATTCTTCTTCAGCTTGTGTCATCCATTCATGCATCTCTGACAGATCTTTCTGAAGACTTACAGTTTTATCCAAACCTCCCTTTAAGGCTTCCTTCCTGGCATAGACCTTCCATAAAACAAACCAACAAGCAAAGCATGAATATTGAAAGTCACAAAACGTTATCATTATATTATTACTGAACAGTCTGTAAATAACAGAAAGCTTAGATAGAAAAGATGAAACAAGAAGTAAAAAAGCTTATATGAATGAGGAAATAATTCATGGCTATTGGATACACTTAATTTCACGTGTTAAAATAAGATATAGCCATTTACTTGGCATATGTAATAAAATGAACATCTTCCCCCATGACTATAATTTAGCTGTTGTGTATGGCTATGCTTTTCTGTGAATAAAGAATAGAGAAAATATTTTTTTCATAATATGTTTCAGTTGGATATGTAAATTTATTGCCACAGTTTCTAATGTTCATAAATCTGAGTCTACTCTTCCAGTTAATTTTTAAAATTTGTTTTACTCTTTCACTTTAAAGAATGTATCATACAAAACACAGTATACAAAGTGGCAGGAATAATTGTAAATATATATGCCCCCAACGTGGGAGCACCCAAATATATAAAACAATTAATAACAAATATAAATAAATTAACTGATAATAATACAATAATAATAGGGGACTTTAATACCCTACTTGTAGCAATGGACAGATCATCTAAACAGAAAATCAACAAGGAAACAATGGCTTTGAATGTCATTCTGGACCAGATGGACTTTACAAATATATTTAGAACATTTCATCCTAAAGCAGAATACACATTCTTTTCAAGTGCACATGGGACATTCTCCAGAATAGGTCATATACTGGGTCATAAATCAGGCCTCAATCAATACAAAAAGACTGAGATCATACTATGCATCTTTTCAGACCACAACGATATGAAACTTGAAGTCAACCATGAGAAAAAGTTTGAAAAGACCACAAATACATGGAGGTTAAAGAACATCCTACTAAAGAATGAATGGGTTAACCAGGATATTAAAGAAGAAATAAAAAAAATATATGGAAACTAATGAAAATGAAAACAAAAGAGTCCAAAACCTCTGGGATGCATCAAAAGCAGTCCTAAGAGGGAAGTATTAGCAATACATGCCTACCTCGAGAAGCAAGAAAAATCTAAAGGACACAACCTAACCTTACACCTAAAGGAGCTAGAAAAAGAACAGCAAATGAAGGCTAGAGCCAGAAGTAGGGAAATAATAAAGATTAGAGCAGAAATCAATGATATAGAAAAAACAACAACACTAGAACAGATCAGTGAAACTAGGAGCTGGTTCTTTGAAAGAATTAATAAAACTGATAACCCCCCAGCCAGACTTATCAAAAAGAGAAAGGACCCAAATAAAGAAAATTAGGAATGAGAGAGGAAAGATTACAACAAACACCACAGAAATACAAAGTGGAATGAACAGTATTCAATTCAGTTTGAAGACAGCCACATATTAGAAACAGATCCAAATGTGCTTCTGTGGAGAATAAGTTAAACAAACTGTGAGATGCACACAATGGGATACTATGTAGCACCAATACATTTGTACTGAAGTGAAAGTGGTTTGGTATATAATTTCAAGCTTAATAAGCAGGTTGCAAAACAGTAAGTGTGGTAATAGGAGGAGATTTGTGCTTTTAAAGCCTCATATGTTTCTGAAGTACTTTTTACAAAAGATGTATTACTTATTAACCAGAAAAATAGCAAAACTTTAAATATCTACAAGAAAATTGTGTATGTCAATCCCTTGTTACAAAGCACCCTGTTGTACCACACTGAGGGAAAAATCTCAGTTTGGTACTAGAAAGATTATATATTGCTTCTCTTTTACCTTAAAAAGGAACTCTAATCCAATGATGTTAGTTCTTTTCTCGGAAATTAAGTAGAGTTCTATCTTTTAAGGAACGGAGTTTTAATTGTACAGTCTTAATATATAACACACAGTTTTAGTGTAATGAAATTTTTATGTACTTTAGCAAATACTAAATATGTGCAGAACCATATTAATTTTCCTTATTCTTTTTATTTATTTATTTATTTGAGACAGAACGAGAGAGAGAGAGAGCACATGAGAGGGGGGAGGGTCAGAGGGAGAAGCAGGTTCCTTGCTGAGCAGGGAGCCCGATGCAGGACTCGATCCAGGGACTCCAGGATCATGACCTGAGCCGAAGGCAGTCGCTTAACCAACTGAGCCATCCAGGCGCCCCTAATTTTCCTTATTCTTTACAACCATCTTAAGCCTGATACAATTAAAAGAACTTTAAGTTCTTTACTCTCCTTGGTAAATGTAGTGCCTGAGCTACTGAAATGTAAATAAATGCTTCACTGTGACATAGCTAGAACAATATGTCTATCAGTTAAGCTAATTTAAGTATAAAGGCTATTTGCATAATCAATGAGCCTATAATCAGTGTAAGAAAACAGGTTGCTCGATTTCTACTCAGATGTTCTACTATAATCTTTTCAGGCAGTTGGCAAAGTGACAATAATATTAGAATGACTAACAGAACTTAGCCAAAGACTTGTAGTAAAAAAAAAATATATATATAAATATATATATAAACTGCATGCTATTAAACTACACCAGAAGGAAGGGATCAGGAGTGATTTTTTTTAAAAGGAAAAGCAGGTGGGAAGTCATTCTGAGGTGACAGTACAAATGTATTGGAAAGAACATCAACTTTGGAATCAGGAGACCTGGACTCAATCATTAGCAAGTTAAGTGAACCTGGAGACATCACCTCATTTTTCTTTATCTCTGCTCTATAACTAATCTAACAATGGGACCAGATGATTTCCAAGTTCTTTCCCAGACTTAACATTCCACAGCTCTATGCCTGACCAGACAGAGATAGGAATTTTTGATGTTTCATATTTTAGAAGGATTTCTATAAAAAGATTTGGACAATTTTCCCCTTACCTTTATCATATTAGTGATGCCAGCATTCTAGCCTTAAATTGCCCATTCTACCCACAGTTTCTGATTATAGAGTTTCAGTTTCAGATTACAGAGCCACACCTCAGATATAAAACAAAAAGTTCTTCATGTTTCCCATTCTAGAAATTTTTTTAAAGATTTTATTTATTTATTTGACAGAGAGAGACACAGCAAGAGAGAGAACACAAGCAGGAGGAGTGGGAGAGGGAGAAGCAGGCTTCCCACTGAGCAGGGAGCTCAGAGCTCAATGTGGGACTCGATCCCAGGACCTTGGGACCATGACCTGAGCTGAAGGCAGACGCTTAACGATTGAACCACCCAGGCGCCCCACCCATTCTAGAATTTTTTAAATCTAACATTCAGCACTGCCCTTCCTCATTCCACTCCCCCCCAGCTTTATTTAGGTATAATTGACATTAACATTGTATAAGTTTAAGGTGCGCAGTGTGAGGATTTGGTACACATATATATTATGAAATGATTACCACAATAGGATTAGTTAATACCTCCATTACCTCACATGATTACCATTTTTTCTTTTTGTGATGAGAACACTTAAGATCTACTGTCTCAGCAACTTTCAAGATATAATACAGCATTGCTAACTATAGTCACCATGTTGTATATTAGATCCCAAGAACTTATTCTGTGTATACCTGGAAGTTTGTAACATTTGACTGAAATCCTTCCATTTACCCCACCCCCAGCCCTGTCAACCACCCCCACTACCCTGTTCTAGAGTTCAGCTTTTGTAGTTTCCACATATAAGTAGGATCATACAATATTTTTTTCTCTGACTTATATCACTTAGCATAATGCCCTCAAAGTCCATCCAAATTTATGCAAATTGCATGATTTCCTTCTTTCTCAGGTCTGAATAATGCTCCATTGTATGTACATATGCATGTATACACACACACACATATATATATGTATAGGTACACATCTTCTTTATCCAGTAATCCATTGCTGTACACTTAGGTTGTTTCCATATCTTGACTATTGTGAATAATGCTGTAATGAACATGGGGGTGCAAATGTCTCTTCAAGATTTTGATTTCATTTCCTTTGGAAATATACCCATAAGTGGGATTGGTGGATCATAAGGTAGCTCTATTGTTAATTTTTTTTGAAGAACACTCATACTGTTTTCCATAGTGGCTGCAGCAACTTACATCCCCACCAACAGTGCTCAAGGACTCCCTTTTCTCCACATCCTTGCCAACATTTGTTATCTCTTGCCCTTTTTGATGATAGCCATTCTAACAGATGTGAGGTCATATCTCGCTGTGGTTTTGCTTTGCATTTCCCCGATTATTAGTGATGCTGAGCATTCTCTTTATGTAACTTTTGGCCATTTGTATGTCATGTTTGGAAAGAGTATTCATTTTTTCTATTTTTAAACCATATTGTGTTTTCCTACTGAATTGTAGAAGTTCCTTATATATTTTAGCTAAAAATCCCCTATCAGATACATGGTTTGAAAATATTTTCTCCCATTCTGTAGGCTGTCTTTTAATTTTGTTTCTTTTGATGTGCATCTACACTGTTTGGTTTGATGTAGTTCCACTTAACTTTTCGTTTGTTGCCTGTGCGTTGGTGTCATATCGAAAATATCATTGCCAAGACCAATGCCAAAGAACATTCTCCCTGTTTTCTTCTAAGTTTTATGGTTTCAGGTCTTTTAAGTCTTTAACATATTTTGTGTTAATTTTTGTGGTAAGATAGGGATCTAATCACATTCTTCTGTGTGATTATCCCGTTTTCCCAATACCATTTATTAAAGAGATTTATCCTTTTCCCATTGGTTATCTTTGATTCCCTTGCCAAATATTAGTTGACTGTATACATGATGGTTTATTTCTGGGCTCTCAATTCTCTTCCATTGGTCTATGTGTATATATTTATGCCAGTACCATACTGTTTTTATTACTACAGATTTGTAATATAGTTGGAAATCAGAAGTGTGACACCTGTCTTTGTTCTTCTTTCTCAGGATGGTTTTGGTCATATGGGGTCTTTTGAGTTCTGCACCAATTTTAAGAATGTTTGTTCGATTTCTGAGAAAAAAATGTCCTTAGAATTTTGATAGGGATTGCAATGACTCTATAAATGGCTTT